GTAAGCATCCATATTAAAGATGGTTGCAAGTAAGTGTTCCATCTAAAAACAACATAAACTAACTGTGCATATGATTTCTTACCATATGATTATTATTTTTAATTTTTTTAATTTTTTTATTCTTTTATATTTCATGATCTCCATGTTAGAGATTACACGTCGCTAAAAACTAAGTCCCAAAATCCATCTCAAAAATAGATTTATTAAGAGGTCATAACCGACACACTCAGTTGTAGTTTGTTAAGAGGCCATAACCAACACACTCAGTGGTCAGTTTGAAGTTTAAAAACAAATGGAAACTAACTGCCCAAATGATTTCTTACTATACGATTATTATTTTTAAATTGTTAAATTTATTTATTTTTTTATATTCATGATCTCCATGGTAGAGATTATACGTCCTTAAAACCTAAGTCTTAAAATCCATCTCAAAAATAGATTTATTAAGAGGCCATAACCGACACACTTAATTGTAGTTTGATGCAGGCTGGACCGCATTTCTACGTATGAGGTATAAAAACAAATGGAAATCAACTGTCCAAATGATTTCTTACTATATATGATTATTATTTTAAAATTTTAAAATTTATACGTCCTAAAAAACTAAGTCTTAAAAACCATCTCAAATTTTGATTTATTAAGAGGCCCGTATGTCATGCAGACTGGATTGCATTTCTACGTATGAAGTGTAAACCATCCATCTTAAAGATAGATGCAAGTGTTTCATCTAAAATCAATGGAAACTAATTGTCCAAATGATTTCTTACCATATGATTTTTATTTTTAATTTTTTAATTTTTTAATTTTTTTCTATATTCATGATCTCATACGCATTCTTGAAAATTGAGTCTTAAAATCCATCTCAAATTTTCTTTTTTTTGAGAGACTAAAAAATAAATTTATTAGGAGACCCGCATTTCTACATATGCGGGCTTGGCCGCATAGAAACGGGGTCCTTTTCTACGTATGCCTCCAAATATTTTGCTGCAAACTATTATTTTCCTCCCATATTTTGCTGCAAACTATATAAAAAATAATAAATATGAATGGCAATGCACAGATATCAGACCGTTAATTCCAGTTTGGAAGGGTGGGTTGGGGGGGGAAGGAGAGAGAGAGCACACAATATCCTGTGGAAAAAGCCGGTGCATTAATTCACTGTTGAAATAAATGTTAGAAATAGTAAATGAATACAACCCCAAAAGAGAACTTTAATTCTCTTGCTCTGTCTCTTCATGGTTCTGGTTCTCATGGGTGAAGAGAGAACATCAAAATATAGTATGTTGAACTTTTCACAGCCTGTTTAAGCTTAACAATTAATTAGAAAAGCAAAAGGATTTGAAGCAAATTATTTTCCACAAAAGGAACGACCTTAATTAATCAATGGATATAATTAGTAAGGAATTAAGGGAGAGGTGGGGGTGGGGGTGAGGTGTTGAGGAGAGAGGCGACGCCACCAAACTTGGAGACTGAGTATTTTCTGAAAACTGAGGTGAGTTTTCCTTGTCCTGCCCCTTGACAGATCTCCTCCATCCATTTCACGCATTCCCTGCATCCAAAACACCAATCTTAATCTTATTTTCATTTTCATTTCATTCATTTTCTTCTAATTATAATTAATAAGTAAGGAATCAAGGAGAGAGGGAGGATTGCTCACTGGAGTTTATCTTCGGTGTAGGTGGTATGGGACTTAAGGGTGTTACTCCAAAGTGGAGACAACCTGAGAATGCGCCGCCCTGTATAAACCGCAGCCGCTGATAGCAATGACGGTGAAAATTTCAACATTCTATACTCCACCATGCTCAGCTCCATTAGGTAGAAGGACATCATTTCCAACTGCACACACACCCCACATTCTTTTTCTCACCAAAAAACCTCAACTTGCTGAAAAAATGCCAAACCGCACAGAGAGATAGAGAGAGACCTTGATATCAGATTCTGCCGCCTTTAGAAACCTTTTCATGAACACAAAAGGGGTAGGTACCGACATCTTAAACTGAAGAGTGTTTAGCATCGATTTTTCCTGCAATTGCAAACCAGTGATGAGAAGAAGAAGAAAGAGGAGAAGGAGAAGAAGAAGAAGGAGGAGAAAGAGAAGGAGAAAGAGAAGAAGAAGGAGAAGGAGAAGAAGGAGGAGGAGAAGGAGGAGGAGGAGAAGAAGAAGGAGAAGAAGGAGAAGGAAAAGGAGAAGGAGGAAGAGGAGGAGGAGAAAAGGAGAAGGAGGAGGGGGAGAAGAAGGAGAAGAAGGAGGAGGAGGAGGAGGAGAAGAAGAAGAAGAAGAAGAGAGAGTAAGTAGTAGTAGTATAGTAGTAGTTACGTACGTAGTACGTACGTACGTACTACGTACTACGTACTACTACTACTACTACGTACGTACGTACGT